CTATCTATCTATCTATCTATCTATCTATCTATCTATCTATCTATCTAGTGCATTGAGCAATAGTTCTATTTCAGGTGCTGTTTTTCCATATAGCTTCAGATTATCCATGTAAAGGAGGGGGGTAGTTTTGTATTTGATAGCCATGACCTGACTAGCTCAGTATTGCTGACAGAGGATTCAGTGCAATGACAAACAGTAGCAATAGAGTGAGTCTCCTTGAAAGATTCCTCTCTTGATATTAACTTCCCTTAATCTATCACCATTCACCAGCAACCATGTCTTCTACTGCACCATTAATCTTTGCCCAAAGCTTCTGATGTTGCTTCTGATTCCTGTTACTTCTAGGCACTTGATTATCCAACCATGTGGCAGGAATGGAATGCCTCCTTGTAATCAATCCAAGCTACGTTTAAGTTGGTCTTCCTTCTTTCCTTCTCGTGCAGTTTTTCAAAATTGTCTTGTCAACCAGGAGCTGATCTTTTGTTCCTCTGCTATTTGCAAGGTTTCCTTTCTGCTCAGATGGAAGGGAGCTTATTTTCAGATAGAAGCCGTTGCACTGCATCTTAGCCAGGTCATGTTGCAATTTGAAAATTGTTGGTAAGAAAAGTGAATTGACTTGCACTTTCTTAGAGGTCTTCTAATCCAACCCTCTGCCCAAGGAAGGAGTCCTTATACCATCCCAGACAAATGGATGTCCTATCTTTTCTTGAAAACCTCCAGCGAGGTTCATTTTGTTCGATCTTTCATTATCAGGTATGTTTTGCCAGTGGTTAATTGATCTTCAATTTCACCCCCCTTGCTGTATGTTGTTAATTTCAATGAGCCAATGAGGAGGTCCAAGACCAATCAGGTGTTCCAACAAAAACCCATGAAATCCATTTTACCAGGCATTGATCTTGACCTTCCATGCCCTGATGTTAACCACAAATTCTTTCCGTTCAAGTTATTTTTTATTCTCATCCATCGCCTTTATCCAAGCTGCAGTCTTGTTGTATTTCTTTGGGCTGTTGCATAACTGGGCCCAGGACTCTACTGTTTCTTCTTTGACAGGGGTTGACTGGTTCACTGGAGATTCTGCCTGTAGTGTGCAGTTGGAATTTGTGATGGTTGTTACTGTTGTTGTTATTGGGTTAATTTTCAGTTCGATTCACAATCTCAGACTGGTAAAAACGTATCAGTTCAAGTCCTAACCAAGGACCTAAGAGCCGTCTAAATATACAGGCGGTTCTGAGCAGAGTGATTTTTGCAACCTCAGAATATTCTAATAAGTTCAAAATTTCCATCTATCTTGGCAACACTTTGGGAATTGCTCCAAGGCTTCCTATTACTATTGGTACAATCATTGATTTCTTCCTCCACAATCACCCAACTTCCATTTGCAAGCCACATTATTTCCTTATTTTTCCTAGCTGTTTTTCTTCATGGTTATTATTGTTATTGTTTAAGATGTAATCTTCAGTTTGATTCACAGTCTGGGATTAGTAAAAACTTAACAGTTCAAATCCTAACCGAGGACCTAAGAGCTGTTAAGGTAACTTCTGAGTATATAGGCATTATTGTTGTTGTTTTTGCTGTTCACAATCTGTAACTGTTAACGGTTACAAGTCATAACCTTGAACCTCAAATAATAACCTTCAAGTTTTGTGTGTGTGTGTGTGTGTGTGTGTCTTTAGACAGGCATCATTTTGCTGCTTCTCTATCTAGTAGTTTTCCATAAAGGTCACCTTTTTGCTGATTCATTTTATCTTGTATTCTGTTATCGTGAGAAATGTAATGAGCTCCAGTCCACCATACCATTCAGTTAGGTGTCAGTCAGATGTGGGGAGAAAAGAGGGATATCGGAATGGCAGGGGCCATTTCCTGGTGCACCTAACTCTCTGCCTCCAGAAAATATCCTTTCTGAGATGTAGAACTTCTGAGCTACATGACTTACACCATTGGCCTGCATATAATCCATCCTGTGTATCAACCTATAGGAGGAGGAGTGGCAGAATCTGGGATCAGTGTTAAAAGAGGGACCAGCCTACAATCCCTATGTAGCCACAAGCGTAGTATGTCCAAACTTCCTTTAGTGCTGTTGACCCTCATCTAATTCCACGTAGATGCCAATCGTTAGTTGAGGAGATTCTTGTTTGTGCATAGACTTTTAGCAATAAATCAGTTTAATTGGGCCTTATAGTGTGGACCTGGTCTTTTGTGCCTGACACAACCTTAAGTGTCCATCATCCGATACTCTAGCTTGGAGGGAGGCCTTTCTAAATATTAACCATGGAGCCATTGACATCCTCGGGTAGCCAGTCTCTGGTCCTCTAATGACTAGTCTACTATCTCATTTCATGCTATATCAGCATGAAATAGCATTGGGATCTCTAAGTCTGGCCAAACTCATCATGAGGTTATTGCAATGGGCAATTGGCATCAATGGGATAATGATATTTGATGCAAGTATGTAAGTTCCATTGATTGGATGTTGATGCCGTGAAGTGCATATCTGGCCTCATCTGTGCCCTCCTTTAGCAATAGCAATACCACTTAGGCTTATATACCGCTTCTCAGTGTTTTGCAGCCCTCTCTAAGCAGTTTACAGGGTCAGCCTCTTGCCCCCAACAACCTGGGTCCTCATTTTACCCGCCTTGGAAGGACGGAAGGCTGAGTCAACCTTGAGCTGATCAGGATCGAACTGCTGGCGGTCAGCAGAATTAGCCTGCAATGCTGCATTCTAACCACTGGGCCACTAGCGTCCATCTTTCCTCCCTCCCCTCCTTCCCTCTCGCCCTTCCTTTGCACTTAGACTTACATACTGCTTTGCAAGTGTTTGAACAGTCCTCTCTAAGCGGTTTACAGAGCCAGCCTCTTGCCCCCAACAATCTGCGTCCTCTTTTACTGACCTAGGAAGGATGGAAGGCTGAGTCGACCTTCAGCCTGGTGAGATTTGAACTGCCAAATTGCAGGCAGGCAGCAGAAGTCGCCTGCAGTATAGCACTGCACCACTAGGGCTCATTTAGGTTCCTTTGTGCTTTTGGAGACTCGGCCCTGACTTAGAGATCCCAATGCTGTTTATTCTGATGTACTTTGAAATGAGATAACGGGCTGCAGGAGACTGGTGGCCAAGGGCAGTTCAGTGAATGGTTAGCATTTAGAAATGCCTTCCTTCCTCCGAGCCAGAGTATCAGACGATGGGCATTGTGATCCAACATTTCTGGAGTGACTACATTGCCAGAAAGTCTTTTTTCTCAACCGTGGCAACTTTAAGATGAGTGTATTTCACTTCCCAGAATTCCCCAGGCAACAGTGTCTCCAGACTCTGGGAAAGTGAATTGGAAAATGAAAAAAGTGTAAAAAAAATTAATGACTTTGGATTCACAACTCTGGAGCTACGCATTCACGTGCATAAAAGCACAGTTAATATTTAGGGCACATGAAGATGTTGGAACACTCAACCTCTGGCAGCTTCAGAACCCCTGTGGCTGTGAGTAATGCAAATATATTCCCGAAGGTGCATGTCATCAATGTCATTATGTCCAATCCTGCAAGATGGCGGGAGAGGTATTGCTTTCTTGAGTTTTACCTTGCTCATATAAACACATCCTTCTCCTCCTCCCTCCCCTTTCTCTCTTTGACTCAGATTTACCGGCGTTGCTGGCTGGTGTTTCGGAAATCTTCCAGCAAAGGTCCGCAGAGGTTGGAGAAATACCCAGATGAGAAGTCAGTGTGCTTACGAGGATGCCCAAAGGTGAGCAATCTCTCCAACTTGCTTGACTCCTCTTCAGAGCCAATTTGCAATTTGCCTGCTCCAATTCAGCATCATTGCTTCATTCGGTGACATTCTCATTACCATTCAATGCTTCCCTGGGGCACCATTGTGGTTCATGTGACGGTGCCGGCTGGAAAAACAGACTTGCCCAAGGGAAGCATTGTGGCAAAAATAACTTTGTTTATGTGTTACAAGGAGTGGTCCTTTCCTAATATCCCTTCTCCCTGCCAGTGTATTCTGGCTTCTTCCAAAGCTCTTGTCCCCTTGTCTTGACCACCTGCCTTTGACCCAAACACCCTTCTGGTGTCCTCAGCCTCCTAGAAAACAGAGACAAGTCCCTAATCCTTGCCCCATGAGCTTGAAGTTTTGTCTCCAGACTAACCTAGGGTCCTTCTGGCCAAAATGGCACCAGGTTCATTTGACTTAAAAGAGATCCTATAAGGGGTAAGGTTATAAGGGAGAAATCTCAATAACCTCAGATACGCAGATGATACCACTCTCGTGGCAGAAAGTGAAGAGGAACTAAAGAGCCTCTTGGTGCAGGTGAAGAAGGAGAGTGCAAACGTTGGCTTGAAACTCAACATTAAGAATCCTAAGATCGTGGCATCCGGCCCTCTCAATTCCTGGCAAATAGAAGGGAAAGAAATTGAGGTAGTGGCAGCTTTTATTTTCCTGGGCTCCAAGATCATCGCAGATGGGGACTGTAGCCAAGAAATTAAAAAGACGCTCGCTCCTTGGGAGGAAAGCTATGGCAAATCTAGACAGCATACTAAAAAGCAGAGGCATCTCCCTGCCAATAAAAGGGCGGAGAGCCAAGGCTGTGGATTTCCCAGTTGCAACGTATGGCTGTGGAAATTGGACCATAAAGAAGGCTGAGTGCCAAAGAATGGCGGCCATAGAACTCTGGTGCTGGAAAAGGTTCCTGCGAGTCCCTTGGACTGCAAGGCGATCCAACCGGTCAGTCCTAGAGGAGATCAACTCTGACTGCTCTTTAGAAGGCCAGATCCTGAAGAGGAAACTCAAAGACTTTGGCCACCTCATGAGAAGGAAGGACTCCCTGGAGAAGAGCCGAATGCTGGAGGACAATAGAAGAAGAAGGGAAGAAGGCAGAGAAGGAGGGGGCTGGATGGAGTCCCTGAAGCCGTCGGCCTGAGCTTAAATGGACTCCAGAAGATGGTAGAGGACAGGAAGGCCTGGAGGAACGTGGTCCATGGGGTTGCAATGGCTCGGACACGACTTTGCAACTAACAACAACAACAACAACAACAAAGTGGTAAAGTAAAATTGCTGCTGGTGGCTTTGAGAGCACAATGCCAGGAAGTGAATTGGCACTGCTTTCTGGAACCCAGCCTGATTTCCCATCCAAGTATTAAGTGGATCCATCCACTGCCTGAAAATCATCCAAGTTCAACTAGATATTCACTCCAAGCTGAGCCATGGCTGGTAACTCTGAAATAATTGATTGTTTTCAAACTCATTCAAATTCTAAAGCTGGAATAGCTGAAAAGGAAGACATCTGATTCCAGTGGCTTATCCCAGCAAAGCTGTCTATTTCGTTCTGCATCTGTCACCCCTTCTACCCATGGATGTCCTTGGACAATGGTCCAAGAAGCTAAGCAGAACTCAGGTGCTTATTCTTATCTTTGTGCTGGAACAGGGGTCACCAACCTTTTGGACTTCAGGGACCACTAAATTCATAATTTTAAAGACCACTAATATGACCTGCCTGATGACCGGCTGGGTGAGTGTGGCTAAGTGGTCATGTGACTGGGTGGGCATGTGGCCAACTCAATGCCACTCATGTTGAGGGGTGCCTTGCTGGTCTCTATTCTCTCCCCTACTCCCAGCCATTCCTCGCCTGCTCGCCTGGGCTCCTTAGGGCCTCAACAGGAAGCAGTTGTTGGAGCTAAGCAGCCCCCACGAGAGAGAAAGAGTTGGCCAAACGGTTGGCTCGGTTCAAATTGGATCTGATCAAAAAGGAGGCTCAGCAAAAAGCATCTCACTGAGGACTAGGAGCAGAGGCTTTCCAAGCAGATGGAAGACCTGTTTGGAATGCAAGGCCAGGTACCGGCACCTGGAGGCTCAGCGGGCTGAGATGGTCAAGCCCTCCGGCGCTTCGCCACCAGCGGCCCTTCCCTCCAGCCTTCGTCCAAAACCCCGGCCCAGGAGGCTGAAGCAGACCCCAATGTCAGAATTTCTGCCCCCCTCCAACCTAGCACAAAAGGACCCCAAAGCGGGAGGCTCTCTGTAACATCACAAACATTCATTGCACGTATCTGGCCCCAGGGGGCCGTAGGTTGAGGACCTCTGATTGAGTGCAAGATAAAAAATGCAAATAATTTTGCTGCGGCCCACCAACATTTTCTCACAGACCACCAGTGGTCCACGGACCACCAGTTGGCGACTGCTGGACTAGATGACCTACAAGGTCCCTTCCAACTCTATTGATCTGTAAATCTGAAGTCACAATGGCAGCCAGTCCTAATACACCTGGGGGAGCACCAAGTTAGGGCTGGCTGTGGTAGACCTTGCTAGGGAAGGTACGGTACCTTAAGAAAAAAGGAGCTTTCATACAGAATCTGGTTTCTCTTCCAGGTCACAGAGATCAGCAATGTGAAATGTATCACGCGGCTGCCCAAGGAGACCAAACGCCAAGCGGTGGCAATTATATTTATGGACGATTCAGCTCGGACGTTCACCTGTGAATCAGGTAGGAGGCTGCTGCTGGAGCGGCGGAATTTCTAGTTGCTTTGGAGCGACGGCTGACAAAGCTGGACGGGATTGGGTGGGGTTGCGTTGAATAACCATGAGCCTGGATGCTGCCTGTTTGCCTTGGCAGAACTAGAAGCCGAGGAATGGTACAAAACGCTGTCCGTGGAATGCCTGGGGGCCCGGCTCAACGACATCAGCCTCGGCGAGCCAGATCTGCTGGCGCCCGGAGTTCAGTGTGAGCAAACAGGTAAGGCAGGTGTCCTTCCCTTGGCCAGTCCACACCTGGGAATCAAGCCCCGAGGATTCGGGGCCAAGTGTACTTTTGGCTTTCAATGCAGCCTTCAGGCCTTTTATCGCCAAGCTGTAATTTTCAATCTGCTGTCTAGAAGGGGAAGGTTATAGAAGGAGTGGAGCCATCCTGTTCATTGCATTTAATATCATTTGGGTTGAAGTAAAACGAAATGTGAAGTTTGCTTTTACCCACCTAAGAGTTTCTTGAGTGCCAATCTTCCCTCCCCTCTCTCTTACCTACCTACCTACCTACTTTTGAAGGCCATCCATGGTGTTGCCTCCAGGAAGACTCCAAGGTAGTTATTCATCCTAAAAGATTTCTGTCTCCCTGTCTTGGAAAGAGGAAGAGGAGCGGGGTGGAGGAATGGGCTTTGGAAATGGTGGAGATGACTGAGATGGCAAAATTGACAACTCTGGTGGAAGACAATGACAAATAAATTGCTTGTAACTTGGAGGCCAATGTTAGGCTTCTTATAAGATAAAGAGAAAAATCAAATTTTGTTTTTGGAATTTGGAGATTAAATCTGATTTCATTAGAGAAATATTGGGGTTAGGGTTAAGGTCAGACTTTTTCAAATCTATATATATATAAGCGAAATACCCCTCACACTTCATCACAAAATCTCCAGAACCATAAAGCCTACAAACATGCAATTTGGCACGTATGTTCCTCTTGGCTTCTAGGTGCTCACTAAGAAAGGATTTTTCAAAATGACCATCAGAGAATTAGTATTTCCTATATTATTATTATTAACATGTTCTGATGCTAAGGAGTTCTACTCCCCCTCCCCACCTGAAAAGAAATCTGTCCCAAATGCAAAACACAAGCAGAGGAGAGGAGTTTCAATTTCAGTTTCACAGCAGCAACCAGATTTAGTACAGAACAGTTGAGCTAAGCCATGCCCAGGCTCCTTGCTGTCATCCTTGCTCACACAGCAAATACTGTTTCACTTTCCAAACAGCCCTCAATTCTCTCACACGCTGACAGGACGCTAGCCAGATGAATATTGATGGATGCTGGTAGGCAGAGGCACAATTTCCCCCCCGCCCTTATTTTCCTCCCAAAAAACTAAGCCCAACCACATAGTTTCATAGCGAAGCACAGGTATAGAGCTAGTAAATGATACTTCATATTATATATTAGATTAAAATTGGGAAAAGAAATACGATTATTGGGTTTTTTTTAGTGTTGACTATTAGTTCTCTATGTTAATTTAACTATTAACTGTTCATTTAAACCAGAGAGAGGTGGTTGTACTGAAAAAAATCTGGAAGTCACATTTGTTTATTTGCTCAGTGTATTTTTTGGACATTTTTAAATCTGTCCTGTTATTTCCCCCTTTTCCCTTTTATGATAATTTGCATTTTAATTTTTGTTTATGAAATATAATAAAGATACTTGTTTAAAAAAGTAGAAAAGAGAAAGGGGGCTGGCAAACAGTGGAACCTACAAACTGCTTTTTAAAAGGCTAAGGAAAAACAGTTGTTAGAAGAATTTTGGAAACTGTCCTGGGCAGTGAAGATTGACAAGTCACGGGCATAAATCAAGATATGGGCCTTAACTAAGATTTCCATTGTAGACAAAAAAAACAAACCAGACAAAGTGAAAGGGATCAAAATTAAGGCACAACTAATAATGCTTTGGTAAGGCCACACCTGAAATGCTACATCCAGGTTTGGTCCCCATGATGGAAAAAAAAAGACGTTGAGGCTCTAGAAAGAGTGCAGAGAAGAACAGCAAAGATGATTAGGGGGCTGGAGGTTAAAACATATGAAGAACGGTTGCAGGAACTGGCAGGTCTAATTTAATGAAAAGAAGGACTAGAGGTGACATGATAGCACTGGTCCAATATTTGAGGGGCTGCCCCAAAGACGAAGGGGTCAAACTATTCTCCAAAGCACCTGAGGAAAGGACAAGAAGCAAAGAATGGAAACTAACCAAGGAGAGAAGCAACTTAGAACTAAGGAGAAATTTCCTGACAGTGAGAACAATTAACCAGAGGAACAACTTGCCTCCAGAAGTTGTAAATGCTCCAACACTGGAAGTTTTTAAGAAGAGTTTGGACAACCATTTGTCTGAAGTGGTGTGGGGTTTCCTGCCTAAGCAGGGGGCTAGACTAGAAGACCTCCAAGGTCCCTTCTAATTCTGTTATTCTGTTCTGTTCTATATTTTCTTTTTTATTTTATTTTATTTTATTTTATTCTATTCCTTATTATATCCCATCCCATCCCATCCCTATTCTATTCTATTCTATTCTATTCTATTCTATTCTATTCTATTCT